ATCACTGAAACAATTTCAGGTCTGACTTGTAAGAATAATGCTTAACCATCAAATTAACTTATTCGGATACCGTTTCATCAATGAAAATATGCCATAGATGTTCAATTATCTATCAATGAGATTTACAAATTACTGTGAACGAGAGTTACAATAATAGTTCTTAGAACTAAAAGTTATTATTAAAATGACTTTGAAGTTACACTTTCTTTGCGAGTTTGAGATAAAAGTTAGTACCAGATGCACCACAATAAAGAGTACAAGAAAGAATTACCCTTCTTTTCCTTATAGAGGTCAGAGTTACTAACCTTTCTCTTAGCCAAGTAAAGAAAGTATAATTTTTACATCATCCAATCCCGAGTATCGTTCCACCAGGGACAACGGTAGTTTGTCGTTATCCCCGGCAACGGCGCCACCTGTGAAGCGCATCGGTCCCCGCGCGAGCACGAGGGCCCTCCGGGCCATTTCACGCAGGAGATAAACAAAATAAAACCTAGAGACAAATCAGGAAGGACGCCTAACTAATCCCGCAAGCCGCCGAGACGGTCGTGGCCGCGTCGTCCCGTCGCCGCTGTGGCCGGGTGTGCCAGCTATACATCCCGCAATCCCCTACGACAGGAAAGGTTTTCGCGGGGCATAAGCTTGCATCCCTAAGGGGCTGTCACCACCCTTTGAGGCGTATCCCTACTGAGCTACTGACCCACGTGCGAAAGCTTTCATATGCAATTGCAGAGGTAGGTCAGCCGAGGGCGTTTGCTCGATTGATAAATACGTTTGGTTGGCGCCAAGTGGACCCGATCGCCGTCCGTTCCTAGGGCGCTGATCTCATAGGTACGAAGCGGGACGTTGGTCGACTATGACGGTCTCAACCAAGCGTGAAACCCAAATTAATCCTAGTCCCTTTAGACATATAGCCAAATGAAATTATAACATTCACAGTCAATTACATCAAAAGAAAATCGAACGTCGTCGACAGAAATATCCAATATGATATGATAACTAAAGTATTCGAATCACCACACAATACATCCAATAACACAAGATCGAAATAAAATCCGACCATCTCAGGTCGAAGACCACAAAGCAATCATACAACCGCCAACAAGGAGTTGGTCACCGACAATAACATAGATTCAGCCGACAAGGTAGTCGGCTGCCTTAGTCTTGACTTGACGAGACGCGTTGTCAAAGTCTTTCATTCCAACCTACTTGCGACCGGAACCTCGACGCACATACATGCCTTCGTCCGTTTTCAATCTTTTCGGATGACAAGCTACTTTGCGATTGATTCTTGATCAGGGGCATTGCTTGACGTGTTGCATGCCTCTTCCTCTAGGAAGTGGTTTGGGTTACTCCTCCTCCTCGTCGAAACACAAGACTCGGATCTCAAAAGTCGGGCCGTCTCCACCGAATCGACAAGTACCCCCCCCGTAGAACGGTCCACTCTGGGTCGATAACAGGGTTGGCTCCTGAAGCAACGAACCCCCGCCCCAGATGCTTCCTAGAGATAGTGGATGTGTCCACCGCAAGTAGTTTTCATATATTTTTTTATTTCTCCTAAGTCGCGGGGGTAACTTAGACGAAAAAAAATTAGAAGAGATAAAGAAAATGAGAATCATTTAGACAGGTACAGGTAGATAAGGTCGTTCGGGATAGAATGGGTCAATCCTTGGGAAAAGTTAAATCCGTTTGACCTTATCTGCTTTATTGCAATAGAATCCATTCTTCGACACACGTTGAATAACATTTTTCCAAAACAACAAGCTTTTCTTGACAAGCATGCAGGTGAAAGGTAGAAAAAAAACAATCCATTCCGTCATCTCAAAGAGGCATAATCAATCTCCTTTGTAAGCATCCCTCTACCTACCTGCACAAACGGCAAAGGAAACACGTTCGAAAGAAAACAGTACAATCCCATACTCGAGTTAGTCTTTTCCATTCACATGCATGACTTGCACAACTTTCCTCTACCTTTTCTTTTGAATATTCAAAACGAACAGGGGCAAGCAAAGTGCAGGTCGACACAGGCATGAAAGGAAGTCAGAGTCATTCAACTGACCTTGAGTGAAGTTGAATGGTACACTCAAGAAGACCGTATAAAATCACTCCCTTTGACTCGCCGGTAGTCCTCCCCAGTCGTCAACAAAGTGATCCAAACCACTCTCTTGCTGCGATCACCTGCCACAACACCCCCTTACTTATTTTTCAGTAAGTATCGTCGCCACTAGCTTCCACTGTGACAGCGTCACCGCGCCGTCAAGTCCACACTGCCTCAAGATACCCCACTCTAGTGGCACCTTCCCTGCACAAAGGCCCAACTGCCGCTCAATGTAAAATTATTGTCGTCACCGCCATAAACCCTGTGCCGACATTGCGAAATTTTTCAACAACGCTTCCGCACTGCCGCTGTAAAGCCTGGTGCCGTCGCCGTAAAATTTTTGCAGTGCTTCCACACCACCTGGGTTAAGCTTGTGTCGCCGCCGCAAAAGTTTGGCAGCACCACCGTATCATCGCCGTAAAAGCATGCGTCTCCGCTGCAAAAGTTCGGCAGCACTTCCGTACCACCGCCGTAAAAGCCTGCGTCGCCGCCGCAAAAGTTCGGCAGCATTTTCGTACCACCGCCGTAAAAGCCTGCGTCGCTGTTGCGAAAGTTCGGCACCACTTCCGTACCACCGCCNACCACCGCCGTAAAAGCCTGCGTCGCCGCCGCAAAAGTTCGGCAGCACTTCCGTACCACCGCCGTAAAAGCCTGCGTCGTAGCCGCAAAAGTTTGGCAGCACTTCCATACCACCACCGTAAAAGCTTGCGTCGCCGCCGCAAAAGTTCGACAACACTTCCGTACCACCGTAAAAGCCTGCATCGCTGCCGCAGTTGCCGCATAAAGTAGCAATGCCTCCCCCACGACCGTCGTTATGACTGTGGCTATAGCCAGCAGCACCTCCACCCTTGCTGAGATGGTGGCTATGGGAGCCTCCTATCTGAGCCTCTGTTGCAGACCTCCACTTTCCTCCTCCAGGCAGCACTTCCTCTAGCAGCAACAGCTCCCACCGACAACTCCTCCACGCCCCTCCTAGTTGTGCTTAGCTGCTCCTGGATCTCAGTCCACTCCTAATCTCCTGAGTGTCATGTATCAAGCCTTAGGTCTCACTACGCGCCCATAGCCTCATATGCTATGTCAAGCTGCTGCTCCGCTGTGCCTTTGCTTGGGTCCACGCCTTCCTAATATAGTCGTGGAGGTGGGGCACTCACATCACTTTAGTTATGGGTCCATATGTGCCTGTATCTGCCTTCACTCGAGCTGCTGAATCCCGAAATTACTCTGTGACTGCCACTTGTCACTTCTCCTTGCTTCCTCTGCTGTCACTGTGGAATTAGAGTTGTTGTGACCCATAACTTTCATTGTCCAGCTTGCTTCGCCTTGTGTATATGTATACATGTCCCTCTGCAGGCTTTTACATCCTGTGATGATGGCTTCAAGCTGTCTCATCGGGCTCTGGACCAAAGTTCCGGAGCAATTTCTCATTAAAAATGGGGGCAAGCTCAGTCCGCATGGGTTTGAGCCCAAACAATTGTCATAGGGCTTCAATACAAGGCAGATAAGTCAAGCCCTTTGCTATCTGGAGGGCTGCCAATTCGAAGGCTTCAAAGCCTTGAAGCCTCAGTCTTCTGCTGAAGGCAAGAGTCACAGCCAGACCTTAAAAAGGCTTGAGCTGCACTCTCTTGCTGTGATTATGGGTTGATGATTTCCCAGCCATGGTCTTTCTCTACGTTTGTTTTTTCCACCGTGGTCTCCCACATTAAAAATAGGCAGCCAAATGGCTTCCCTAACTCCTGGACAGCCATTGGCTGCCTTTTTTCTGTCTGGCACCCGTTCTGAGGGGTGCCAGCTCAGTGCTAAGATTGGGGGGGTAAGAACAACTCGTGATAATCACGAGCTAAAATCTCGATAGGCTCAGAGCGGGATGCAAAAATTACCAAGACTCTGGCGATTTTTAATTAAAATTTCGTCAAATAAAAAAATCTAAAAAATTTCACGCGCGTTGTATAGGTGCCCACCTACTCAGAGAATTTTTTTCAGAGCCAACAAAAATCATTTACGTCACCAAAAAAATATAGGCGCAAACTGCAAAATACAGATTTTCTCAAAATTTTGATCCACTTTTTCATTTTCTTCTTTTTTTTCTTTTTCTTTTTTTTTTCCCTTTTTATCCATTGGCCTAACAACGCCCTTTCGAAGGTTGTGGCTCCAAGCCAAGCCATGAACTGTTGAAATGTAGACCAGAGTCCAAATCCAAATGGATTCAGGGCATAGTGGGGCTGTGCAACCTCACGAAAAATGGCCCTCACCACCCTACTCACCAGATGTGCAACATGAAAACGAGTATCCCTCTTTCCCACGGGAAGAAGCAGTGCCTCGTTAAGCCGAGAGGCTGTTGCTATTTCACATTTCAAGAAACAAAAAAATCATGTCATCCTTGCGTAGGTCATGCTACTCTTTGCGCGGCTATTTTTCAGCTGTGCGATTTTATCGATCGCACGACCGAAAATGATCGCGCCATAAAGTTGGGCTGCTCCAAAAGGAAGGAGCTAGCCCAGTGGGCCTATTGGCTTCGATCCCCACATCTGCGGTGTATCAAGCTGGTACTTTACCTACTGGGCTAGCTCCTATTTCACATCAGGATAGGAGCAGGCCTCATATATGAAAGGCTATAATGCCCAGTAGGCAATCTATCTACGGCCTTGCAGGCCTTGCCTGCATGAGGCCTGCAAAACCTGCCTACCTGTAGCCTAGCAGGCCTATCTTGCTTGTGGCCTTGCAGGCTTCACCGGCTGGTGGCCTAGCAGGTTCTGCCTATTGCCGCTTCCTCGTGGATGGCAACCCATCCATGGCTCCGGGGCCACCCATCGGGTAGGCCTCGGCATAGGCCTGTTGGCCCTCCCCTTGGCTCGAGGTCAACTCGGCGGCCCTTCCTATTCCTCTCGCGCCGCGATCCTATACCCGGCGCATCCTTCTTTCTAGCCTACTTAGGCCCTGAATCGCGCGGCTGCCAATAGGTCTAACTTTAGCGTTCCCATGTCCGCGAAACATTGGCATTCACATCCGTTATTCTCGGACGCTACATGCGTCCGGACTAAAGCTCGAAAACTTTTAGTTCCTTAGTCATGGGTCAGGTCTGAATAAACTTTTGGCAAACGTCGGTCTCATCAAGTCTTTTAACCGAACGAAAAGTCGGACAACATTCGACGTTTAAAATCCCCGGCAAATACCCTTGTCAGGGTATTTGCCCCGACAACGTAGATAGGCTAGATAGGCTGAGTAGGATAGGCTGGGCGCAGATAGTAAGTGCGACATTGCGTACAGTGCTGGTTTGACCAGAGAGTGGCAACGTTGATATTTGAGTTCGTTGAATTGCTCTTCTTTGGACGGTATCTTGGTGCGTTGCACTCTGTACTTGGTTCATGACTATCTGAGCTTATTCGTGATTTTGCAACTTGGATTTTTGTCTATCGCTCTTGCTCATATTCCTTGCAACTGGGAACCGGACGGACCCTTCGTACCCCAGGACCAACCTCCGCCAGGAACACGAGTTTCCTAGTGGGCACCACCGATAGTTGAAGTGAGGCTTTCCCGATGTTGATTTTGCCATATACACATCTGATTGTGCTCCCCTGGTCCGCGGCGCACCGACCCCCGCCCCCGGACCCCGGCACCACCACCATCGACCCCCGCCCCTGGCACCAGCGCCCCCGGAGTGACCCGCGCCCTCGGAGTGACTCGCGCCCCCGGAGTGACCCCGCCCCGCCCCCCCCCCCCCCCAACCCAGGCCCGTATGCGATTCCCCCCCCCCCCGACCCGCAACCACCCAGAAATTGGGAAAAATGGAGTTTGGCCCAAAAGACCTGCGGTGGCGCTGCGCACCCGACCAAGTTTTCCTTTTTCTTTTTTTGTTTGTTTCAACCCCTCTCCCCCCGGGGTTGAGGGTCCCACCCCCGGCGGCCCTGCACCCTGCCGGTGATCAGGTGTCGGGGGGTGACAACCTTGAATCATGGCCATGATCGTCAATCGCCATCTTCTACCCTCTTGCTTCCCTTCTCTTCCCTCCGTCATTCTCGCCCATCTAATCCCTGCATCCTCAGACCACCATGATGATCATTGTGATCCCTGGATCCTCTGTCCTCCTGCTCTACTATTCTCGCGTATTGCAACATCCCCCCCCCCCCCGTTTTCCCCCTTCTCTCTCTCTCTCTCTCAATACACACGCCATCGTCTTCATCATTATCATCGTCATCACCGGTGACCCATTCTTCTCCCACCGGTGACCCATTCTTCTCCCAATTGCATCGCAGCGACGTGTCAATCACATGCTGCCTCTTGTCTGCAATCAATTCGTATGTTGAGAAAGGGAAAATGAGTTGAAATGAAAAGGAAAAAAGGAAGGGGAAAAAAGGGGAATTGAGTATCTGCAACATCAGGTGGAGGAGGCCATAGCCATTGATTGGTCAATGATTATGATTGATAAATGAATTGTAGTTGATCGTCGATCTCAGATCAGCCATTGGTCGGCGCTCAACCATCAAGAATGGCCATGGATTCGGGATGAGTCATTTGATTAGCCATGTATATATAGACATAGATATAGATATGTACATATATATATATCGGGCAGCTCTGTTTGGCTATATATTGCACAACTTCGTTAGCACCCTGCTACGTTTTTCTCCGGTCAGTTTGAGCGGCAGTGGTCGGGGCCGTCGCCACGCGGCCATGCTGTGCCTCTACACTAGTGGTGTGCCCGGAGTGTATTTTTTGGATGTGACAGACGTTTGTTTAGGGGTGTTTTGCTTGCTTGTGATTGGGTGTGAACCGACAGTCTGTAGAGTTTTCCATTTGGTGTGGGTGAGTGATAGTCTGCTTTGATTTTCGTCACCAGGTACCTTGAGGGCAGTGGTCGGTGCGCACCTCAGGGTATCAATTGTCGGGCACTCGTTGATGCTTAACCAAAGTCGGGGTTAAGGTGGATTATCACTTGCAGTGTAATCAGTTAGGGGATTCTGCAGACTGTTGAGGGTTCAGCCTCCTGATGAGTCGGTGAAACTTTGACGAAACAGTTTGTCACAACCCCTCGTTTGTTGTCCTCTTCTCCCTCTCTGCCTGCGGTGTATCAGTTGTCGGGCAGTTGTTGATGCTTAACCACAGTCGGGGTTAAGGTGGATTATGACTTACAGTGTACTCAGTTAGGGGATTCTGGAGACTGTTGAGGGTTCAGCCTCCTGATGAGTCGATCAAACTCCGACAAAACAGTTTGTCATAGCCACTCGTTTGTTATCCTCTTCTTCATCTCTGCCCACAGTTTAGCGGGCAACTCTGTTTGACGATATATACGACGAAACAGTTTGTCACAGCCCCTCGTTTGTTGTCCTCTTCTCCCTCTCTGCCTACGGTTTACCGGGCAGTTCT